GGGGGGGGGGGGGGGGGGGGGCACTCCCGGGACAGCCGTGTCCCCTCCCCAGGTGACAACGCCTATCGCGACATGCCGCGACAGCCCCGCGCCGCCCCCCCGAGCCCCCCCCCGAGCTCGGCTCCATCTGCAGCCGCAGCCGGTGACAGCGACACATCTGGCGCGGGGGGTCCCCGAGCAGCTGGTGGGGACACCGAGGGGACACGGGGGGAGCGGGGGGGGACACACGGGCGCTTCTGCCACCTCCCTGTCCCCGCTGTCCCCTCCCGGGGCCCGGCGGGGCGGGGGTTTTGTCGTCCCCCCCCGTGTCCCCCCCAGCGGTGCCACCCCCCCGGGGACACCCCCGGTCCCCAAAGCCGGGTCCCCTCTCGTGTCACCCCGCGGTGGCGGCGGAGGCTCCGGCAGTGAAGGGGTGACAGCGGCGGTGCCAGCGCTGGCACCGGGTGGTGACAGATGGCGGAGGGACGCGGCCGCAGCCGGAATGACAGATGAGGCTCCGCCGTCACCGCGGCTGCCATCGCCACTGTCACTGTCACTGTCACTGCCATCGCCGTGGCGGTGCCAGTGTCACCCGCACCGCCGTGGCACCGCCACTGCCATCGCCGTGTCACTGTCACTGCCATCGCCGTGTCACCTCCAGTGTCACCCGCACCGCCGTGGCACCGCCACTGCCATCGCCGTGTCACCTCCAGTGTCACCCGCACCGCCGTGCCACCGCCACTGCCATCGCCGTGTCACTGTCACTGCCATCGCCGCGTCACCTCCAGCGTCACCCGCACCGCCGTGGCACCGTCACTGCCATCACCATGTCACCACCCTGGCACTGTCACTGTCACTGCCATCACTGTGTCACTGCCATCACCATGTCACCACCATGGCACTGTCACTGTCACTGCCATCACCGTGTCACCTCCAGTGTCACCCGCTCCACCGTGGCACCGTCACTGCCATCACCATGTCACTGCCATCACCGTGTCACCACCATGGCACTGTCACCATCACTGCCATCGCCGTGTCACCACCATGGCACTGTCACTGTCACTGCCATCACTGTGTCACTGCCATCACCATGTCACCACCATGGCACTGTCACTGTCACTGCCATCACCGTGTCACCTCCAGTGTCACCCGCTCCGCCGTGGCACCGCCACTGCCATCGCCGTGTCACTGCCATTGCCACTGTCACTGCCATCGCCGTGTCACTGCCATCGCCGTGTCACTGCCATTGCCACTGTCACTGCCATCGCCGTGTCACTGCCATCGCCGTGTCACTGCCATCACCGTGTCACCATCGCTGCCATCACCATGTCAGTGCCAGTGTCACCCTCACTGCCATGGCACTGTCACTGTCACTGCCATCACCGTGTCACCACCATGGCACTGTCACCACCAGTGTCACCCGCATTGCTGTGGCACTGTCACCGCTGCTGCCATCACTGTGTCACCGCCATGGCACTGTCACTGTCACTGCCATCGCCGTGTCACCGCCATGGCACTGTCACCGTCACTGCCATCACTGTGTCACCGCCATGGCACTGTCACTGTCACTGCCATCACCGTGTCACCACCATGGCACTGTCACCACCAGTGTCACCCGCACTGCTGTGGCACTGTCACCGCTGCTGCCATCGCCGTGTCACCGCCATGGCACTGTCACTGTCCCTGCCATCACTGTGTCACCGCCAGTGTCACCCTCACTGCCATGGCACTGCCACCGTCACCACCCCACGGCTCTGTCGCTGCCATTGACACTGTCCCTGTCACGACAGAGCCACCGGTGCTGGCACCGGACCCGTCTTGGCACTGCCGCTGTCACCGTCACCGCACTGTGTCACCTCCAGCGCTGCCACCGCCGCTGCTGTCACCCGTGGGGACCTGCAGGGGACCTGCCGGGTCACAGCGATGGTGGCAGAGGGGGTGGCGGCCACCCCATGTCCCCCCTTATGTCCCTCCGTGTCCCAAATGTCCCCAATGTCCCTCCGTGTCCCGAATGTCCCCAATGTCCCCAATGTCCCTCCGTGTCCCTCCGTGTCCCGAATGTCCCCAATGTCCCCAATGTCCCTCCGTGTCCCTCCGTGTCCCTCCGTGTGCCAAATGTCCCCAATGTCCCCAATATCCCCAATGTCCCCGCGTGTCCCCAATGTCCCTCCGTGTCCCCGCGTGTCCCCTCGCGTCCCCCACGCCCCATCCCGCCGTGGGCGTGGCCTCTGTCACAGTGGGCGTGTCCTCCGAGACAACCGGGCGGTCCCAACCCCGCGGTGGGCGTGTCCTCCTCCACAGGGGGGCGTGTCCCTCGCGAGGGGGGGCGTGGCCTGCCCGGGGTGGGCGTGGCCGGCGCGCGCTTCCCGCGGCAAAAGTGCGGCGGGCGCCAACTTCGGGCAAAACTTTCCCCGCGCGCCGCCGGCACCGGGACCCCCCGGGACCCCCCCCCCGGCACCCCCCGGAGCCCCGGAGCCCCCCGCCATGCCCCGGCGCGGCTGACACCGCCGCCATGTACTCCCCGTATTGCCTGACCCAGGTACGGCCGGCACCGGGAGGCGCCCGGTAACGGCGGGGGAGGGA